TTCTATAGATTACTGAGCACTATACTTAATCCTAAGAATGACAAAATAATGTTTCTGTCACCGGTAAAAGTTAGTGCTTATATGATCTAGTGTCAAGGATGATTTTATATAACGAAGTGTAAAGAGTTACTGTCTCCTGATCCTCAAGTTCTTGATCTGAATGTCAAATTGTCACTAATGTGGAAGCCAGAACAAAAATATCAAGCTTTGAGGGAAAATACCGTAAAAATTTCTTTGCCACCTAAATGATTTGTTTTTCTGATTTGATGTAATTTTTACTGTATTATGTCTCCCTATTCATTTTAATGTATCAGGTACATTTTTCCCAATTTACTTTCTAAATATGATGAGATACACTGGTAGTCAACGCTGAAAGGAGAAAAACAAGCATTGAAAATTCATATTCGTAAAAAATGTCTTGGACTGGGCAACACTATGAATGGGGCCTAGAGATTTCCATTATTACATGCCAAGCTTTCCTTTTGCTTTTCCTGTGAAGAGTGTCGGGAAGGAGAACTAAGACAGTATCATGTCTTATGCGCAGAACACTGTGTTTCCTCATCCTTTATCCCTGGAATACATTGGGTTATAGGAAAAGGGGAATAGTGTGATGTCATGTTTCAAGAGAAAATATGCTCTCTTACTGCTCTTAAAGGTAACATTCAACCATCACCGCAAAGGAGTTTTCAGAATTTAGATCTATGAACCTGCAGGGTGTAAATGGCTTTATGATCTCTAGGTTGAAATGACTCACAGGAGGAAAGACTCTATAGAACAGGTGCATAAACAATGTTTCCAATATTCTGAGCTGCTCCAAGAGAAAGAAATAACAATAGCTAAAATTTTTATAGCATTTACTATATGTTTGGCAATATTTTAGGAGCTGCATGTATATTAATTCATTTAATCCTCACAACAACCCTCTGAGTTATGTATAAGAATAATTCCCATTTTATGAGGAAACCCAGCACAGAGAGATTATGTAACTTGCCCAGTATCATGATATAGCTTCATAAACTGGTAAGGGGTAGAACTGGGATCTACACACTGGTGGTCTGGTTCTAAAGACAAGGCTCTTGATCACGGCTCTTCATGACTTAATTACTAGGGTAATGTAACCATGAAAGGGGTAAGCAATTTTTCAAAATGTAAGGAAAGAAAAAAATGTTTAAAACTAGGAACTTTGAATCTTACCCTTTTATGTGATATTGGAAAAGCTAGTCACAATAAAGTTTTACCCATGAAAAATATATTTAAAGGCTTGTTTATCAAAAAAATTTTCTGAGCTCAATTCTTATTCCAGAAGACAAATGTTTGCATGGCACATTGTGCAATGTACAACGTACAATAATTTAATCTTCCCAGCTGAACATCTTAACACTATATGAACCATGAATGCATGAAATAGGAATTCCAAATGTCTTCCACATGGTTAGAGCCCTTTCCAATACTTGTTCAGGAAGCTTAAGAGTAGTTTGAAATTAAGTGATGCCTGTTCTTAGTGACTTTTATGTATGCCGAAGGTATTAGTACTTATCTCTGAGTGGGACCCTGAGGTGATAGATAGATGAGTCTGCTGTCTGTATTTAGGCACTTTGCTCATTTCCTGAGAGCAATGTGGAAGGCATGTGGATGCTCATTAAGTTTCCAACCATTCCCCGAGAGCAACAGGTGGCAAATCAAAGCTTCCCTGGTATGTCATGGCTGGTTTCCTCAACATCTTGGAAATAACGGATGGCATTTGCACGCTCTCTGTAGTACCAGCAGATAAGGAGATGAATAGCAAGGAAGTATTTCCAAAGCATAAACAAACACACAGGTCTAGGAAAGTTATGACTAATGCTCTTGCTACCACACATTCTAAATCCATATATGGTGGTTTCATCTTTTAAATATTATTACTCATTCAAACTATGAAATCAAGGTTAACTGTCCTGTGGTTAACTACCTAACAGAAGCAAGGTATATTAAAGGAGTAAAGAATATCTCAAGTTAATGAAGCTATATCATCAATTTATAAACGTTTAACTGTACATTTAAAAATATCCAATAACTACCCATAACTATGATGTGTTTTTAAATTGCCTGCTTAACAAAATTACTCAATTACACTGAGCACCTACTACATTATAGGGCAAGCATATCACTTACATTCTGGATGAGAGAGAGAAGACAGAGCTTATTAATCCAAAAGTAGAATCTGTGATTTAAACTGAATACTGGATAGTTACCCAACAACACTTGATAATTACATAGAAAAGTATCTCTAGTTAATGATAGAAAGATTTTTGTCAGTTGATAGCTTCTGCTCACCATAGTCACTAGTCAGGTTGGAAAAACAAAGGAAAGTATCAGCTATAAGATCTTGACAAAATTTGTCTGGCAACATCCCATGACCCTAGAAGTAAAAACGTTTACTGGAGGTGGCAATCACCAACATCTTTCCCAATTTGAAAAAGTTCAAAACCTTCAAACTGGTCCACCGATGACTAGGGAAATGAGCTGGGATATTTTTCACAGTGGAGGACATAAATAAAAGGGAATGAGAACAAATAGTAGTAACTGTAATTGTTTGTTTTGGAGGGAAAACCCCCAATACCTTCCCCCTTATATACTCTCTCTCAACAAGAAAGCTCACCCTTAGGAGAAGGGACAACTGGATTTCTACACAGCACTGAGATTCCTGCCTCAGGATCTGGTGCTGGCAGCACAGCCCAGCTAACCTACAAGCAAGCGCTGCAGGAAACCCTGCCCCAGTCCTTCCAAAATGCCCCTCCTTTTAAATGCCTCCCCCCTTACTTATAATGTTACTGGCTTCTTTAACTTAGTGCTGAATTTAATGTTCTTGAATTTGTTTTAAAAATCTGTGATTTTCCAAATATCAGTAAAAAGCTTTTTTTTAATGTGTGGGATTATTAAGGAACTGCCATAAATTAACTCTGCAGCATGAAATCACATATAATTTATTAAGTTATTTTTGCTAAATATCAAATGATAAGGAAATGACTTTGACTCTTTAGTAAACTGTTGTCATGGAGTGTACTTTTCTGTGAAGAAGCCAAAGACTAAAAATATATTAAAAGGACATATCTGGACATCTGTGATACTAATCTGGAAACATCAAACAAAAAGCAGAACCAAAATTTCTGAGTGCCAACCTGGAATTCATAGCTTTCATGGCTGTTAATTATAACAAATATACTCATAAAATATTACACATGATACCATATGATGTCTGGGAACTCAGTAATTTAATATATTAATTCTAAAATCATATTATTCATGTAACACATTTCAAACACAATCTTCATAAAGCAGCATATACAACCCTCTTACTGAAACTAGGAATATTAATTTTAGAATCATCTAATGTACTCTAGAGATTAATTCAAAATATTATAAGATGAGAACAATGTAAAGAACAATCTACTTGCGTTATGTTATTTTATCAAACAGTTCTAGAATTAAAAGAAAAAACTTTAAAATAAGAAGCTGATTTTAAGGGAGCGCTACAGCTAAGACACTAGAATTTTTAAGCCTTGTCAGTTGCCATGTAAAAAATTTTAAACAACTAAAAAAAATTTTTCTTAATATTTTTAGACAATTTAAAAACACATAAAACAATGTTTTCAAGCTAAGCTTTAAGCAGTTATTTCAAAAGACATACAAATTTTATGGGAATAGTATGTAGGTCAATAAAGCTTAGTAATATGATTTGTACTTTGCAGTGAGAATTATTAACAGGAAGTAGAAGCACAAAACACATTGGAAGGACTTCCCTGGTGGCGCAGTGGTTGGGAATCCACCTGCCAATGCAGGGGACACAGGTTCGAGCACTAGTCTGGGAAGATCCCACATGCCACAGAGCAACTGCGCCCGTGCACCACAACTACTGAGCCTGAGCTCTAGAGCCCGCAAGCCACAACTACCGAGCCCATGTGCCACAACTACTGAAGCCTGCGTGCCTAGAGCCTGTGCCCCACAACAAGAGAAGTCACTGCAGTGAGAAGCCTGCACACCACAACGAAGAGTAGCCTCTGCTCTCCGCAACTAGAGAAAGCCCGCACACAGCAACGAAGATGCAACACAGCCACAAATAAATTAATTAATTAAAAAAAAAAAACTTTGGAAAGATTATTATAATGGGTGAATCACAAAAACAGCTGCCTGGATATTAGATTTGAGGGGATGTTAAGATTTTAATTCTGGTCAAAATCTGATAGGATCTTAAAGGTAAAATTTAAATGGGAAGGGAGACATTGTAGACTTTAAAGAATTCCTATGACTTCAACTGAAATGACTTTTACATTTATTTAAGGGGCAGAGTAGGTTATATAGTGGAATATACAGTCCAGATAGCCATGGCAAACTTTACAAATACCCATGTTTCATTTTTTTTTTTATGGAAGTATAGTTGATTTACAATGTTGTGTTAGTTTCAGGTGTACAGCAGAGTGATTCAGTTTCATATATATATATATATTTATGTATATATTATACATATACATGTATATATATATATATATATATATATATATATATATTCTTTTTCAGATTCTATTCCAAACAGAGGGATGGGTGAACACGGTGCATTATACATATACATATATATATATATATATATATATATATATATATATATTCTTTTTCAGATTCTATTCCATTATAGCTTATTACAGGATATTGAGTATAGTTCCCTGTGCTATACAGTAGGACCTTGTTGATTATCTATTTTATATGTAGTAGTGTGTATCTGTTAGTCCCAAACTCCTAATCTATCCTTTCCCCCGCTTTCCCCTTTGGTAACTTTAAGTTTGTTTCCTATGCCTGTAAGTCTATTTCTGTTACCTGTGCTTCATTTTTAATTAAAAAATTTAATTGGTTGAAATGGCTGGTGAGTATTTAAAGAACAGCACTATATTTTTAGCTTTGATTTTTTCATTTTTGTGACTCTCACAGTTACATTTCTATGAAGCCAAGACTGTCAGTGCAGTATTTACCTTTATCCCCGGAAGTCCAGGAAGCCCAGGAAGCCCTGGTTCACCCTACATAGGAAAATCACACAGCATTATAGAACAGTATTCACTCAGGCACAGTATCTGAGAAAAACATGGCAAATGCTCCCAGCTGAATTCTTGCTGTATGTATATATATTTCTAATATATGTACTGTCTAGTTTCAAGATATTTGGTGAGATTGTACAGTTCCGTCAACTCTTGATTCAGGGATTGGTTGACCATTTTGCAGATTTTTCAGGATTTTCTCTGTTGCTGCCAGTTCACTGCTCATTGTCGTCACTACCAGAAGGTGAGAAAGAGAAATAAAAGGAGAAGGAATTCCTGTGTCTTATTACTCCCTGGTCAATGATTTGTTGAGGAGGCTGAATCTATCTGCCGAAATGAGGATTACGTGCATTTAAATAATGCATCCTATTCCAGGGCTCCCTTACCTCAGATAATCAAGAGTTGGCTGTATGAACAGATGGTCATATCAAAACAATATACATTAAAAGTCTCATTCACCTAAAAGTATAACAAGATTTCTTTTCCATTCCTGAATGATGAGAAGATAAATGCATGGTTAAGATTATACTTAACTCCAGCCCGTATATCAGACAATTGTTGAGTCTGGGTAACCCTGCTTAGCAATTGAGGGCTAATGGTACCATGCAGCTGCTTCTGAATACAGGTTTGAGATTAAGTGGTACATTTTGGGTGAGCACACTGGAGTCGAGCTAAATCTTCTCATTTTCACATAATTGTTTACATTATTTTAAGCACAAAGTATAGTGATAAGAAGTTATATTGCTTAGAAAATCTCCTGAATTCCACTAAAGAAGCATAAAGGAATTGCTAGAGAAAATGAAAGTCCATCCTGTGTTGGACTGAGGTGACTAAGTATTGTGGAAAATAACATTTGAAGGTAAAAGTGTCACATCATTTCATGATGGCGAGTCAGTGTTATGACAACTATACCAAAAGAGATAGAAGCACCAAACTAAAGATAAAAGTGGTAGAAGGCACTTCTTTAATCTAAATGCTTGAACAGCCCTTATTCCAAGGAAAATCTACTAAGAACAACCAGACATTTCATCTTTAATATTATTACTTTCAAATTATGGAGGGCTATAATTTGCTCTGGTATTATCACAAAATGACTTCAGATACTGTTTATATTAAGCTGTATGGTTAGACATAGAAAGGAAAATGACTTTCCTGATGGTTTAGGTCAAAGGTGCTTCAGGAATGCAAAAGAAAAGCTATTCTTTCTGAAACTACCTGAGTGAGTTTGCATTGTGAACAAAAAGACTAAGATGAGATTAAGCCAGAGAAGAAAGAATGATTATTAAGAATTTGATATTTCATTCAAAGAAACTTGTCCAAGTAGGGTAACCTTTACATAGATACAACATTATACATTTGATTTTCTTTTTTCCCGCCATTTCCCTTTAATCAATAACTTTAGGAAGCTCTAGTAAAAAGAGCCTAACCATATTTCAGTGAAGATTCTCTTTTACTAAGAAAAAAATATAAGGCCCTTGAAAACACAGTAAGTTGCAGTAGAATATACAACCAATAAAAGTAAACATATTGGTGACATATTGATAGTTTTGTATTGTTTCAGAAAAGCCCCCCAAACTCAAGACATCCTATTTAAGACATGTGTGGAAACATATAGGTTGTAACACTGTTTCCTCAAAGGAGTTTTTACTAGACCCTTCCCTCAAGGGAAAGGGTCAAATTAAAAGGCTCTGATGACTACTTTAAAGTAAGATATTTATATACACACGCATACATAGACACATCCATGTTTCTCACAATGAGATAGATGTATAAAACATTATGGATTATTTTATAATTTATTTTATAAATCCAAAAGTAGATTGGATACTTACAGAGAGTTTGAGCACTTAGCTCTTCCCTACATCTTATGCATATATATGTAAGTATATAGGTTATAAATGTACTTTTTAATGAACAAATCTTTCAGGAATTCATATTTCATGCTCTTGGATTTTGACCTTTCCAAATTTATGTTTACTTAAAAGTTGACAAAATGAAGGATTATAAAACATTTAATGTTACCCTTTGTGAAACATCTCAGCATTTTTAGGAAGATATTTCTTCCTATATAAATTCTCTGTCTTTATACCATGAATGTTTATCTTTTAATTAAGAGACAGTTTTCAGTTAATTTCTCCATTTTTGCCTATTTCTTGACTCAGAGCTTCTCTGAGCTGAGTTCTTGGTCATGCACAGCCCAAGTTCAGATCTAGGTCATAATTAAGAATTGGTTTGTTATTCCATTCAAAGACTTCTTGCCCAAGTATATTACACTTTACACTGACACGTTATGCTTCTGGTTTTCTTTTTTCTTTCCTTTTCACTCTTTATTCTCCATTATCGGAGACCCTTGTCTACTGTTAAAGTCAGTTCTCTGCTTTCACCCCATGTCCCTGTGACAGTGCCCTGTGTTTCTAGATACAGTTCAACTGTGCCAGTCCCTTACAATGGGAAAAAATGTATTTTTACCCCATTAAAACTAAAAAATATATTTTAAAAAGATGTGGAGAAGTTAGGAAGGCAGCTATGCTCACCACTATACCACCAATGCCATTGAATGTGAAGTTAGGAAGGAAAAAATTATGTGATAAAACACACTCACTTTACAAACATATATACACTAACTCACATA